TGGCATTCCGAAGGCCGTTGTCCATACAAACCGAAGTCTCAAGGCTCTCGTTGAGCCACATGCCATCGTCCAAGAGCAGGACAAACCCAGCTACGCTGCACGAGTCCTCCAACAGAGCGCTTTCAGTTTTGATCTGTCAATTGACCAGACGATGCTTGCGCTCTGCAACGGCGGTTGTGTCTTTGTCGTTCCCAACTCGAAGCGCGGCGACCCTCTTGGTACAGTCGACATGATCGCTCGACACAATATTACTTATACGATGTGCACGCCGTCCGAGTATAGCATCTGGCATCGCTTCGCTCGAGACCGTCTTCTCGATTGCACATCATGGGAGAATGCTTCCTCGTCGGGTGGCCCTCTGTCAACCGCGCTTGTTCGCGCGTTTGCTGGTCTTGAGCTTCCTCATCTCAGAGTCTTCAACCACTGTGGTCCGACCGAGACAACTGTCACCAATAGGATTGAACTCGACTTTGCTGACTACGCTGAGGGTGAGAAGGCGCAGATGCGATACGTCACTGACGTTGGCTTTCCTTGTGCCAATTACTCTACCTACATCGTCGACGAGAACATGAAGCTCGTTCCACGAGGTTACCCTGGTGAGATTGTGGTGGGCGGTGCTGGTGTCGCAGATGGCTATCTTGGACGTCCACATCTTACCAAGGAGAAGTTCATTACAGATCCATGGACTTCATCGAAGGAGTGGAAGATCATGTATCGCACCGGCGACCGTGGTAAGCTTCGTGCGAACGGTATGGTCGATATCTTGGGTCGTATCGAAGGCGGTACCCAGGTCAAGCTGCGAGGCTATCGCATTGAGTTGGGCGACGTTGAGAGCGCTATCTTGAGTGCAGCTCAGGGCGTTCTGTCAGACGCTGTTGTGACTCTGCGATACCCTGAGGATCGTCATGAGGATCACGATGATGATGGTTTCCTTGTCGCGCATGTCGTCGTCGCTGACAAGAGTCTTCGTCGTCCTGAAGTAGACTCCTTCTTACGCAAGATCGTCTCGAAGCTCCCTCTGCCTCATTACATGCTTCCAGCCTTGATGCTACCAATTGATCGCTTCCCATTGACAGCGCATCAGAAGCCTGACCGCAATGCGATCGCAGCCCTTCCTCTGCCTGCCTTCACTCCGGCCACGGCCAATGATGCCGTTGCTGAAGAGGTCAGTCTCGAGTCGGAGACACAGAAGAAGATCGCGAAGATGTGGAGGACTCTGGTCCCAGCGAGCGCATCTGCTACCATCACAGCAGACACTGACTTCTTCCACGTCGGCGGAAGCTCACTGCTACTGATCAAGCTTCAGGGCATGATCAGGAAGGAGTTCAACGTGTCGCTAAGGCTTTTGAACCTAATGGCTGCCAGTAAGCTTCGTGGGATGGCTGCGCTGGTGAACGACGAGGTCAGTGGTGGTGACATTGATTGGGAGAGGGAGACCAAGATTCCTGACGAATGGCTGAGCGTGACGCAAGTCGCCTCGCAGAAGATGGATGGCCCTGTTCGCGTTCTTGTCACTGGCGCGACTGGGTTTTTGGGGCGAAACTTGATGTCTCATCTTGCCGAGTCTCCTCAAGTTTCTGAGATACACTCGCTTGTCCGCGACGCGTCAATCACCGAGACCAGCGACAAAGCCACTCTCTGGCGTGGAGATCTCAGCCAACCAAGCCTGGGTCTTTCTGACAATGACTTGACGCTTCTCAGCAACAGTGTCGACGCGATCATCCACTGCGGTGCTAACCGTTCTTTTTGGGATGATTACCGTTCCCTTCGCGCCGTCAACGTTAGCAGCGTCGCGGAACTCATTCGTCTCGCGCTTCCCCGCCGTCTTCCAGTTCACGTGTTGTCCAGTGGAGCTGTCAAACGGTATAGAGATGGACATCCACCTGTTGATGGCAGCGATGGATACGTCGCGTCAAAGTGGGCTGCTGAAGGGTTGTTGCGTGATGCTGCGAAGCGAGCTGGATTGCCTGTGTTTATTCACCGCCCAGCGCCAGCACTGACTGTTACCGAGACTGCCGATGAGGATACCATCACGTCAGATGAGCTTCTTCGTCTCGCGAAAGCCATTTCCCTGCGCCCCGATCCAACGGGTCTGAATGGCACGGGTCATTTCGTGCCAATTGATCAGATCTCGAGCCGCATCGTCGACGCGCTTATCCGGTCTTCTGCCCAACCACAAGACGGTGTACAAATCATTGAGCACGCGGGCACAAAGACATTGAGCATGGGTGAATTTGCGAACCTTTGCGAGCAATTACCAGAATTGAAAGAGCTACCAACTGCAAAAGTGCTCCAATGGTTTGGTCAAGCGAAGAAGCAGGGATTGAAGCAATTTTTGACGGCGCTGGAGGTGGAGTTTAGCGATGACAAGGGCGATACTGCTGTGATGAGCAGATGAAGAATGGTTTCGTCAGGAGTAATGTCACCGGGATGCAAGGATGGATAGCGGTGCCTGGAGTGTTTGTGGATATTTCTTGCATGTACTTTTGCTCTCTCTTTTCTTTTACTAAATAGAATACTGCTCTTTCTCGTCATGTGAGCATTTTTGTCTTTCCGAGTATCCGGCGCAATGCAATGTTACTGTCATCGCTAACCCTGTAGTCAACCCCACCAACTAAGTTACCCTGCATCTTGTTGCCTCTTTCACCGTCCATCCTCCAAAAATGCTCAATTGATCGAACCATTGGAATAGATACATGCTCATATTCTGTCTATTGCACGATTCCTCAATTACCGACAATAAATCGCTTCATCTCGGAATGTCTCACCTCACTTAAACTTTCCCCATGATTCGATTTCCCCGATAAACTTCTATCATCTCAACTGTCGGGCCGTTGATGTGGAGTAGCAAACTTCAACCGCAATACAATTCAAGACAAGATCTTCACTCAGAACCTGAACTCCATCTCCCATTCGATGACGACGATTATCGGTCCGACGCTACCTCGCCAAGTCGGTCCATTTCCCATGTCTTCCCCACAACCGCCAGATTAACCTATGGCTCTGACATCACCCCTTCTCCAGATCGGCGTGTTTCTTGCCTGGAGATGGACGCGGGGAAGAAAACGCTAACCGTTGGATCGGTGCCGATGTCGTCGGAAGGGTATCGCCTGATCAGGATGTTGGGTATATAAGCGTCATATAATCCTCGAAATCTCGAATTATTCAGCAAGATACAGTTTGCGTTTTGATCACCATGAGAGGTCTCTTGTTCTCGACCGTGGCTGGCCTCGTTCAGCTCAGTGCCGCCCAGTCTTCCACTACTCCTTCTGTACCAACTGGAACACCCATCACGGGCGATTACAATGGCACATACCGTCCTCAGATTCACTTTTCTCCTCCCCAACATTTCATGAATGACCCCAATGGCATGTTCCGCGATGCTGATGGTCTCTGGCATTTATACTATCAGTATAATCCCACCGATGTAGTCGCGGGCAACCAGCATTGGGGCCATGCAACGTCAAAGGACTTATACCACTGGGTGAATCAGCCCATTGCGCTCTTCCCACCGGAGAAAGACACTTATGTCTTTTCTGGAAGTGCTGTTGTTGATGTCAACAACACGTCCGGATTCTTCCCTGACCAAGACAATGGTGTAGTTGCGATCTACGTAAGTTGTCAACAGAAGTTGAATGGTCACCGCTAATGATATACAGACTCTGTCATCGCCTACCGTTCAGGATCAAGCAATCGCCTATTCGAGGGATGGAGGCTACACCTTTACTCCATATGCCAACAATCCCGTCATCAACAGCACATCTACCCAGTTCCGTGACCCCAAAGTCATTCGCTACGACGACTCATGGATCATGGTCGTTGCCTACCCTCAAGACTTCAAGATTGGTATTTTTGAGTCTGACAACCTCAAGGACTGGAAGCCCACCAGCAATTTCTCCCACCATGGACTTCTCGGTCTGCAGTACGAGTGCCCAAACATGATCCCCATGCCTTACGTAGATGAGGATGGTAAGAAGCAAGATGATATGTGGCTCATGGCCATCAGCATCAACCCTGGTGCACCATTAGGAGGTTCTATCACTGAGTACTTCCCTGGTACTTTCAATGGTACTCACTTTGAGGCTGTGGATGCTGCTGCACGAATTGCAGACTTCGGCAAGGATAACTATGCTGGACAGTGGTTTTATGGTCTTTCAGAGGACGAGTATCCTGTTTCCATTGCTTGGGCTTCCAACTGGCAGTACACCAGCGTCGTACCTACAGGCGATGAGGGTTGGAGAAGTGCGATGAGTCTTCCTCGTGAGAACTACCTCACCAAGGCTAAGCGCGTTGGTTGGAAGCTTGTCTCCAAGCCTTATGACCTTAGCCCTGTGCTGGGTCGTGAGCTCGCCTCCAACAGCAGCTTTGGCAACGGAACACTCATTGTTGACTACTCTGGTGTTGAATCGAACGCTATTTACTGGGAAGTCAATGTCACTGGCATTCCCGACGGTGGGATTCCCTCAACCTCTTCTATGAACTGGACGTTCTCAAGCCCCATCACCAACGAAGCCATCAAGAGCGGCTACTACCTCGGCGGCGATCCCGTGTTCTTCCTCGACCGTGGTGGTGTCAAGGGGTTTGACAATATCTTCTACACGGATAAGACCTCCCTCGGCAGTCTTGCTACTGAGAACGGCACCTGGAGCCTTAGCGGTGTCATTGATAGGTCTATTTACGAGGCTTTCCTCAACGATGGTGTTGATAGTGTTACCAACACTTTCTTCTCCACAGAGCCATTGACACTCATGATATTCAGCGCAACTGACTTGCCCGAGGATGTCAAGGTTAGTGTCAAGGTTCATGCTTTGGAGAGTGCATGGAAGGAGATGGAGAATGATGATGGACTTGTGGCGGGAAACAGAACATCGAGTTCATCGTAGTGTATAACATTTGGACTATATATATAGAAATATGACATCTGTGCTTTGATAAATGGGTTTGTGATGCTTCTACCTTCAAGTTACATTCTTTTCCACGTTCAAACTCTAAAGCTTTGCTCATTTTCTATCCAACATACTGAAAAGTTTGTGTTGCTTGATTGGCGAGATAGAGATCAAGGCTAGGACTGCCCAAGCCAGCATCATCAACCAAACATGTCCAAAAGCTTGCATGAGTGACTCTATCACTCCACTGTACCAGTCCTCCGGCAGACGACGAATCTCGGTCAGGTCATCCTTTATACGTCGAATTTCTTCGGCCGCATTTGGCTGATGGCCGAACCGTGCCTGCAAGCTCATGTCTAGGCTTGATTGGTATAAGACGGAGGCTAGTGTTATTCCAATGGTACCGCCCAAGCTTCGTGCAAGGTCTATAGATATGTTAGTGGCTTTCTTATCAAGGGCTGCTGAAAGTCTTACAAGTGGTGGATGTGACAACGGCCTGTTGTGCATGCCCTACTGCCGCTACGCAAGCGACCTGTGTGATGCTAAAGACGGCATTGTAACCGAGACCAACGATGAAGAAGGCTAGGCAAGTCGTCCAAGCTGGAGTGGTCTCATTCTGAAATGCGAATATACCAGTGCCTGCGACCAGAAGAAGAATGCTGCTCACCACCAGTCCTACATACTTGCCCGTCTTCTTCATGAGGTATCCGGGCACGAGTCCTCCGAGACATGTGCCAACTGATGCCGGCAATATCTTCAAACCCGCGTTAGTGGCGGAATCGCCACGGGCCTGAAGGTAGAGAGGGACGTAAAAGATGCTGGTCAGAGCAATGGCGGAGCAAAAGACGCTAGCTAGGCAAGAAGCGAGTACTGTCGGGTTGAGAAGAAGCCGGACAGGGATAATCGGCTGAGAAGCTCTAAGTTCCCAGATGACAAAGGCTAAGAATAATAATATCGAGAGCGAAATGGCTGCTATGGGCAAAGGATGCAACCACGGGACTATGTTTCCTCCAGAGCTCAGGCCTAACACGAGGGCTGCCAGGAAAGAGGAAACTAAAAAGACGCCACCAAAGTCGATACGCTTGACGTACGACTTGTCAGACTGTTTGGGTGGAACTTTGATCAGGCTGTACACGATGATAGCTGAGAGGAGAGAAGGAAGTACTTGAATGAGAAAAGCCATTCTCCATCCCCAGCTGGTATAGTCATTTAAGAAGCCACCAAATACAGCACCGACCATAGCGCCGGAAGCATACCAGATATTGGCAATACCTCCTACCAATCCACGCTTCCGAAGAGGGACGAGATCTGAGCCTAGGAAGGTTGGTATACTCATAAGACCCCCACCACCGATGCCAGAAATGACTCTTCCCAGTATCATTATCTTCTGGCTAGTAGCAAGGCCGCATATAAGGTTCCCCACTGCAAAGGCAATGTTACTAAATGCCAAACCAGGTCCGCGACCAAAAATGTCAGTGAGGCGGCCTGAGATTGGCTGACTGGCAGCATTGGCTATCAGATATGCCGTAGCAAGCCAGGACAGGAGACTTAGAGAATTGAACTCGCTGGAGATCTGAGCAGACAGGGTAGCGATAACGGTCGTATCGGCTGCTCCGAGAAAAACACCAAGCCAGGCTGTGCTCATGATCATAGCGAGTCTTGCGAAGGAGAGCTCTTTGCAAATTATTGCTACTTCTCCATCCTGCTCAGAGGTCTCAGATACATCACGAGGAGAACAGCCATAGCTTTGGTTCTCATGGTCCGATCCGATAAGTGGTGTACGTTCAGACATAGTGTCTGGATGATAAGAAGAGGGCAAATTATGAAACGATGATATAAGAACAGACAGTAAAGAAGTATTTGAGAAAGATAGTTTGTAGAAAGATTTTTTTGTTAAAGAAAACGAATGACAAAATGAAGGATTTAACGCTGTCTATGGTAGGCTCATACGGGAACAGGCTCAATAGGTCACTTACAAAACGCACTGATGCATCAGCAAGGATTGTCCCTGGCACTACCAACTAGAAACCAATGCAGATGGAGCTTTTCAGCAAAATCTGAGAAAATACAAGGAAGAGAAAAACTTCAAGGTTCCGATAGAAGAGTTGACCTGGCCAAGGTACGACCCCGTCTCACCCTTGTGTTGGTGCGCATGTCACCCAAGTGTAGTTTCATGATCGACGTTACTAAGAATCAATAGTTTAGATTGCATGTAATTAGTTCTCTCCACTTCGCGGTCAACGCATTCCAGCATCCTGGTGCAGATACTTAGAAGTATTGATCATCCCGTCTGTCTTAGCCTCGACCAACAAGAATGGTTCCCAGCCTCGCCGACTTCCGGGCGCTTAGTCTGCGTCACTGACCCCGGCCTCAGCTATGACATATCTCAGCACCGTCACCTGAAGATCTGCACTCGGCCCAAGATCATATTTTCAGCCGTGTGGCTTCAACTGAGACATTGGAGTCCGCGCGTAATGTGGAGTAACCGGTCTTTGGCATGCCACATCCCAGAAGGCAAAGGGAGTGCAAATGAGGTCAAGCCTCAATTGGTATTGTTAAGCATGTGAAAGTGTACGAGAAGCGCCTATTTGGTACACTTTTAGACACATCACCAGAAAAATATCGAGAAAGGGCTCATACCTTGGGAGACAACATTCACAGCTTTCGAAACAAACCGTCATGATGTGGCTCAATTCTGTTATCCTGCTCACCTTTGCTTTCTTCCTGCGCTCAGCTACCTGTGCTCCTACTACCCAACTGTCATCCCTCACAACAGATTATGAAGTTATTGTTGTAGGTGGCGGGCCTTCAGGGCTCGGTGCCCTCAGCTCCCTTGGACGCATTCGCCGCAAGGCTTTAATGATCGACTCTGGCCAATATCGCAATGCGCCAACGCGACTCATGCACGACGTTGCTGGTTTTGATGGTTTTTGGCCCCTCCTGGCAGCACTACTGAGCTATCTTCTGACTGAATGTAGGTGTAACGCCGGCATATTTTCGATGGTCTGTCATGCAGCAGATTGCCCATTACCCGACAGTCAGCGCAATGAACGGAACTGTGACCAGGATTCAGCCTGAAGCAAACTACACGTTCTTCAATGTATCATGTAAATTGCTAGATGGTACAACTTCTACTTATACCGCTAGGAAAGTCATCTTGGCGACTGGCCTGCGCGACCTTCTTCCGGAAACACCTGGGCTACGAGAGAACTTCGGTAAGGGTATTTACTGGTGTCCTTATTGCGATGGAATCGAACATGCCGATCAGTCAATGGGAATTCTTGGTCCTCTTGACATGGTCATCGAGGCAGCTGCCGAGGCAATCACTCTGAACTCTGACATTGTGATTTTCGCCAATGGCACCGATACACACGAATACCGTTCCAAAGCTGACAAGCAATTTGCTGAGAACTCGTCTGAGTATCTTCGAAGAATGAATATCAAAGTCGATAATCGTACTATAACTCGTATCACTAGATTAAAAGATGGCGGAGCACATGAGAGGGACCCGGCCCTGCCAATGGTGCCTGAGCATGATCTCTTCAGAGTCGAATTCGACGACTTTGGGCGCGAGGAACGTCAGATACTCTTTACGGTCTTCGGTAGCGAGCAAAGGTCTCCGCTTGGAGAAATGCTCGGGGTCAGTATGGCTAATGGCATGATGGATGTGGATCGCATAAGCATGGCTACAAATGTGCCTGGTATCTATGCTGTTGGAGATGCGAGTACTGACAAAAGCACCAATGTCTTACATTCACTCTATACCGGGAAGATAGCAGTTGTGGATATTAACAGTAAGTCAATTGTCCCCAATGCCGTATTACTCGAGTCATGTGGCAGCTGACGAGGTCTGAATAGTGGAACTGGAAAGGGAGATAAGCAGGTCGTTAAACTCTGAGACCAAGATTGATGCGGAAAAGAAACTCGGTCACGATGAACGGGGGAAGCTTTGGAAACAGATGAGCGGGCAATCTGGAGAGATCCTGGATTTGTAGACGGTGGACCAAAAGCAGGAGTTGCATGCCGTAGATTGAGGGAATTGGATCAACTTTCCTCATTCATAATACTTGCTGTCCATGTCAGCATGCATATGTGAGTATGCACCAGACGGACATACTTAGAAGCAAATGTACAATGATAGTAGTATTAATGATCAAATGATAGTATTATTAAGGATCAACAACGAATATGCACCTTACATGACCACGCATCCAGCGCCCTTGGGCTTCATCGAGTTCTTTCTCTGAACAGACACAAATCCTGCAACTTCCATATCATGCGAAGGTCTCCATGCACGCTCCAGAGCCATTGCCCTCTCTATGCGCCGCAGTCCCTCGAGCAATTGCTCACGAGGAAGGGCAAACGTGATTCGGAACCATCCTCTATCTCTAGCATGAAAGGGCACACCGCTCGCAACAGAAACCTTCGCAGATGCAAAGTTCTCCATGAGCTCTGCATCAGAAACCTCGGTTGCTGTCTCCCCACCGAGACGAGTCCATATAAAGACTCCTGCTGCTGGGCGATAGAAGGCAAAGCGATGGAAGGATAAGAAATCTCCAACGAGCTCTGCTGCATTGCGCAGAAGCATTCTGTTGCGAACGAGGATGTTCTCTAGGACTAAAAGGTCCGAGAAGAGACTGGAGGCAATCACAGACGTGGCATTGGATACTCGGTACCTGTTAAGAATGGCCATTGCATTGCGAAGCTCAGGGTTCCTTTGTGTCACGAGGAAGCCCTGCAAGAGGTTAGTCAAGATAACGTGAGCGTGGAGACGATGTTCTTACAAGTCGGAGACCACTACTACCCAGGTCTTTGCTCAATGCGTAGACGACATGTACGCGGGCAGGATTGACATTAAGACTCTTTATATCCAGAGACAAGACGGAGGTAAACTTAGTCTCTGGGGACTCAAAAACAATTGGCCCTTTTTCCGAAAATGGCTCCGCGCTCTTTGTTTGCTGTGGCCCCCACGCTGACATGCCGTAGATCTCGTCCGAGATGTACTGGATATCTTGCTCTTCGCAGAACTGAAGGATTGCTTCCAGCCAACTGGTAGGATAGATGTGCCCAGAAGGGTTCATGGGGTTGCAAACAATGATGCCACGTATGCGACATGTCGCAGCTTCCATAGCCTTGAGATAGAGCTTGATGAGCTGCTCTGGTGATGAGAGCCCAACTGGTGTCGTGACTGGTATCAACCGATCATCATTCCGCAGGTTACTTGCTATCCCAAAGCCTTCCCAGCACGGCGCATTGATCAGCATGCCTTCATCGAGCTCGCTGAGTGAAAAGTCAAGACAGTCGAGGATGGATCCAGCGCCAGCACCACAGACGATGTGACTGGGCAGGACAGGACTTCGTGGATTGAAGAACCTGTTGAAGAAAGAGGCTGTGTTTTCGAGAAGATCCGGTGGCCCGCCGAGATTCTTCGAGTAGGAGAGATGTGAGGCTTCAAGGTTGTCGGCGATGGCTTTCTTCATCAGCGGAATAAGATCTGGACGGCAAAGCCAGTTCTCTGCTGAGTTCATGGCAAGCACGTCCTCCGGCCATACTGGGACAGAGGGAATCTCTTCTGCCAACCAGTTCAGGCTTTTCTGAGCGCGATGGGAAAGCATTGTGTTGGTAATATGAGAATGTTGGATTCTACTCGGTGTAGATGTTTGGCATCCGCTGTATTTGGTAGTACAAATATTGGCGGCGTCAACCTCTTAGTTGACATATGGGAAGATAGAATAGAATGGTACTCGGACCTGGCTGCCCATCCATCGTGTACAGTAGATAAAATGTACGTATCCCTTTCAGTGCAAGTTTGATAGTTCTGGGGTCAGACCGCCAGCGAGTGAGTGTTTGGCCATCGGCCGATCCTCCCTTCTGCTGTATACGTAACCCCTGAACCCTGACTCATTGAGATAAGAAGGTTGTAATGAAGGAGAACTTCCAAGATCCCTGGATTGACATCGGAATGGTGAATTAGGAAATGATTTCCAGCCTACGAGGAGTGGCATCGACACGAGCCGTGCCATATCCCAGTCATTTTACGCTTAGACGTTGCCCACCAGCAGAGCCTCTAGGGCCTGGGCCTGAAGATTTAATTGAAACATTGTGTTTCCGTGTCTCAGCTCAGCCAGCCCTATGAGCAAAACCAAAGCGATCATCTCCTTATCGGGCACCGGTTCCGTTTCCGCAAAGACTTGTTGAGATGAGCGTTACGTATACAGTGTCACTAAATGCTTGTTAATTATTTAACTATTGGCCGACGGCCTGAGACCAAAATGTCTCGGTTCGGACCATCGGCCTCAACAATACCGTCGCCGATGGCCCTGAGCCCCTACCCTTGTCGTCCCCAGTGAGACATATGCACACTATCGGCCTCGCCCGCTTCCCCGGGTGGCCGCAATTGTCTCAGCTACTGGCTATCGACAATCTCATTCGGGTGTCGGTGTCTTATCCTCGTCATTGGGCCAATCAGTCAGTCCTTTACAAGTTCGGAATGCAAGGTGCGTATCTGCAGGTTTCTTCAAGGAACAGTCTCAGCACCTCCTCTTTGCTTTTGCATGCCATTTGTAGTCTGAGCGCATCTACACGGTGGGAGGGATGGAACTGAGGGGCCGACATTAACAAAGCGTAAATGTCAATGATCACCGGAATCTCAGCTCCCTTTGGCGCGAATCAACTACTGTACAAGTCTTAGTCTTGATGGAAAGCGAAATGATAACCTGCATCACCGTAGGTGGCTTGGTTTGCCATGAGAAACGTGTGCTTTGCTTCATTCGCATATGGAGGCGGTAAGACTTTGCTATGGTGAGCAAGTCACCTTTTTCTTTTTCTGCCCTTGCGTCACGTAGATCCACGTCATTGGAGTTGGGATTGATGGAGGTTATGAATGAGGAACAAAAAAGAACGATTATTCTTGCAGCCGTGACCGGTATCCTTCCAATAGTTAAACAAACAGAAACCATTTATCTTTGAACCTGGTTTCCCGGAGTCAATCATAAATTACCAGACAAAATCTCCATTTTCTATGACCGACCACAGTGAAGAGACTCTATCGGGAACTATGGCGACCCATCTTCAAAGCTTCGGAGAGTGGCAGATCCAGAAGGACATCATTTACCTAGACAATGGTGCCTTTGGGTCCTGTCCGAAGTCCGTCGTCGAGAAGCAGAAAAACATTCGGCAACGCATTGAAGAAAATCCCCATGAGTTCTTCGAAAGATCATATGTCTCCGGCTTGGAGGCCAGCAGACGCTCTCTGGCTGGCTTCTTACACGTCGATCATCGAGACATCTTTCTGCTTCCTGGCGCAACCCACGCCATGAACGTCGTCATTCAAAGTCTGCGATTCAACCCAGATGACGAGATATTGACTACAAACGTTGCGTATAGCTCTGTGCGGATGGTGCTTGACCATGTTGCCGAGAGAGATGGTGCTCATATCGTTGTCGTCAATGTGCCTCTGCTAGTCACAGGCCCTGAAGATGTGATGCGGCGCATACTTGCTGGCGTAACGCCTCGCACACGTTTTGCAGTCATCGATCACATCCCAAGCCGAACTGGTCTCGTGCTTCCAGCAAAACAAATCGTCAAGGAGCTTGAGTCTCGCGGTGTTGACACCTTGGTCGACGGAGCACATGCGCCCGGCATGATTCACCTGGATCTCGAGGAAATCAACGCCGCATACTACGTCGCCAACTGTCACAAATGGATGTGCGCACCACGAGGAATTGGTTTCCTCCACGTTCGGCGAGATCGCGCTCAGAACATCAAACCGTTGGTGATTGCCAGGTCCCCGTATGTCGTTGGCAAGTCCAAGCACTCTGTGCTTGAGCACAATTTTGGATGGATGGGGACCTATTGCCCTTCGGCAATGCTTTCCCTCCCCTCCGCTATCGATCATCTCAACACTGTGATGCCAGGCGGGTATAGCGGCTTGACGAGTCGTAACCATGACCTCGCAGTATTGGCCCGCAGGATTGTCTGCAAAGCTATCGGCGTAGATCTTCCGTGCCCGGACAGCATGATTGCTGCCATGGCGACTATACCGCTGCCAGACTCTCCAGGGCCTGAGCAGGAGGGTATGCTTCCCATTCAGCAAGCTCTATGGAAGGAACATGGCATTGTTATACCGGTTTACTCTTGGCCTTCATACCCCAAGAGAGTGATCCGTTTGTCTGTGCAGGCTTATAATACGTTGGATCAATACCTCAAGCTAGCCGACTGTTTACGCATCGTGCTGCACAAAGAACGAAAGTCCTACTCGCTTGCCTCTGTTGGTTCAATTGAGCCTCCAACCCCTCCATACACGAGGAGGCAAAGTGATGATTCTGCCTACTCTTCATCCTCCGAGGGTCACCTGTCATGCGGATGCTCCAGCTCTAGAATCAAGAGCTTAAGCGCGGGACATGGTGTGTCTGGAATTCCGTGCCAAGACATTGAGAAGCCGACTCTGGCCATGCTCAGGAGCCTCGCTGAATCCAGATTACGGAAGATTTTACATGGCACATTCTCATTCGATTCTGTTTCCATGTTTCCCACCGCTGGAGCTTGCGAGGCGGCACTCACGTTGACCAGTGAGATCCAGAAACATGCGAACATGGAGAGTTCCAAAATGGCCTACATGCTGTCTTGCATCCCACGGCGCAGAATTCCACGGATGATGGCTTCTTCTGTATCGCAGCTGCTTCAGACTGAAGACGTCATCGAGAATTGGCCGCTGCGAATGAACACGCTCAAGAATCAGTCTCAGACACTCACTCGAGCAATCATTTCTGCCATGAACGCTCCCAGAGCGCCTGCCGTATTCACAGTCGATCTCAATAAGTTTGTCAGTCGAGTTGTGCCGTATGAGACGGAAACCGACGAAGAGAATCTCAGTCTGACGTTTTGGGACCGTGCTCTGACAGACTTCGCGACCAAGGGAGGATGGTCTCCAGGTCGGGTTACCTCGTTCTTGCAGATCCATGCGTTTTTAAGGGATCCTGTTGGTGGACTGCGCAACAAGTTTGAAACCCGCAGAGATAATTTCCTGAAGCTCCTCACCAGCCTCACAAAAGAGCTGGAAGAGTCGAGGCAGACTATACGAGAAGATGTCGCAGCGCAGTTGGCAGCCGAGTCTTCATTCCTTTCTCAGCCTCTCGCCAGTAATGCAAGCTACGTTCACTTTTCGGAGGATCAGCAACTTGTATACTCGTACGTTGACATTTCCGATATGGCTCGATCCGAGTTCTCTTGCCCAGAAATTGTGATTGGCATGATTGGCGATATCCTCAATTGCAGGTCCGGGGACAACATCAGTATTGCGCCAATTGCTGTAGCCAACATCCATCCTGTTTGTTCAAGCCATAATTCTCGGCAAGTCATCATAGATGGTAACAACCGGATTACTACCCTGACCTTCCTCAAATTCGTCTCTATCTACGGACTATCAGAGCTTGAGAAAGCCGAAGATAACTTGCGAGAATACTGCCAGGACAGCGGATTTGGACCAGTCTATTTTGTTGACTTCTGCGCTGTGCTACAGCTGCTCCGGGACAGTGCGGTGCATATATTGAGCCAACTTCAAACTGGTGTTGGTTTGGGACACTTCAAGCATATTACGCAGGTGCCGTGTCTGATTACGGAGGAGGCATCTTTCATTACCAAGGTGTTGGTCAATGGAGAGGAGATTGCACAGCCAATTCACCAGTCTATTTTTGCGACAGATGATTTGCTTGTAGCGTTGCCGGCAAAGATGCAGTGCCATGGGCGGGCGAAAGGGTTCAAGGCGCTACCAGTTAGGTAGATGAAACGTGATCTAGGAATACTTCAGGCTTCAGTTTATCATATAGTGCTAAGATATTAACCATGTCTCTATGAGGTTTGCTTAAAATAGCGACTACCACAAAAAGCATCAATCTTTCATTGCCCAGTCAGCAGCAGCGATAGCGTGAATCTTTGCAGTGTCAAATATCGGCAGCTCACTTCCCGCCTCATCAACCAATAGACCAATCTCGGTACACCCCATGATCAAACACTCGGCACCTTCAGCCTTGAGTCTGCGGATGACAGAGTGATAGTCCTCGCGAGAGTTCTCTTGAATGATGCCGTTGCAAAGCTCCTGGTAAATGACGTTGTGTACCGTATCTCTGTCGCTATCACCCGGCACAATGACCTTGAGCCCGAAAGTCTCGACCAGGCGCTTCTTGTAAAAGTCTTTCTCCATGGTGAAACGCGTTCCGAGGAGGCCGACGGACTTGTAGCCTGCTTTGATGATGGCCTCGGCAGTTGGATCGACGATGTGGATGAGAGGGAGCTGCGAGGAGGGTTCGATACCGTGAGAAACGAAGTGCATGGTATTGGTGCAGAGGACAAGGGCATCAGCACCAGCGAGCTTCAGTTTGGCCGCTGCATCGTTGAGCATTTCGCCAGCTTCGTCCCATTTGCCCGCGTGCTGAAGGGCCTCGATGTTGGCGAAGTCGAAGGAGAACACGATGCACTGGGCAGAGTGAAGGCCGCCTTGGATTTCGCGAACGCGACGATTGATCTCTTGGTAGTAGGTTGTAGTCGACTCCCAGCTCATGCCGCCGATTAAACCGAGCGTCTTCATCGTGCTTGTTGTGCTGTTATTTGGGCTTCTGGTCTTGACACGTGGCTCCTGTGCGATGTTGATCAAGCTGTGAATGCGGGTGTAAGAGGAAGGTTTTGCTGCAGCCACTCAAAGCAGATTTGTTATCGCGGTGGCTGACTCATTGTCGGTACGTACTCGATTTTGATGACTTGGAAAAACGAATGAATTCCGCCACTATTACCTTTTTGATTGAACTGAGACATGACACCTGAGACAGGCGCCAATCACTCCTTGTACAACGGTAGCCATGTGTTTTCTCTGTTGTTAGTCACATTCGTTCCACGGACTGATATGTAGGGGCATGTCAGGAATTGCGAGCTGCAAGAATACAGCTCGTGCAGCGCCAGAGTTGTGTCTTAGACATATGTCATAACGTTTTTATCTTCGCTTTTATTCAACAAACACGAACAAAACGTGTAACTTCACAAGTAGCCTAGTGACTTTGAAGTTCATGGTCGTCCCTTGAGCTAGCCCAAGCTGGAGACGTACAGGACCTTCCGATAGAGCGTGCACTCCTTGGATCCACGAGTCATTAAAGCCACTAAGATTCGCATAACATAGTCAAACTCGCTACTGAGATGATAAAGAGTGAATTGAGTTGAACTCTCGAATAAGGCCGCGCAGACGGAAATGACTGACTGGAGCTAAACTACCAAAGGAACTCGTACTATCTTCGAATCTCCAACAGGTCGACACGAAAACATCACCATTTCCCGTATACTTCTGTCCCAGGACAAGAAAGTGGCTCTAAGTGCTGACAACCTCACCCATGACAGCCAGAACATTGGCAGATGCACGAGAGTTCTCAGCATTGATGGTGAGGACACCGGCGCTCGAGTCCCAAGTGTTGCCGTGGGACCCATTCTCCTCAGAAGAGGAACCAAAAGCACCGATGCGGAATCCGAAAACACTGATGCCACCGCCACCTTGGACCGTCTTCTTGTAGTCCTGGTCAAAAGCCGTCTTGGCATCACCACTGAAACTGATATCCATGCTGACACCCTGGGCGATGAGCATCTGCGTCGGGCGGACCTTTTGAAACATGGCGGGCGGCTTAGCACCAAGCTTAGCCATGAGGCTCTTGACATCGACGTTCCTGTACATGGAGTTAGATAAGGTTACGAACGAGTGGAGTAGGACTTACCAAGAACCAGGCTCAAATGGGACGGTCTTGTAATGCTGGATCTTGAGAGAAACCTTGACGTCCTTCGCGTTGGAGCTCATGTTGAAGTTGGAGTGCTCAACACGTCCACCCCCACTGGCATAGAAGTCAAATACGGGGAAGCGGCTGAAGGAAGCATTACCCTGAGCTTCAGTGAAGCCGATGTCCTTGAAAGAAGACTGTTGGCCGGTAGAAAGGCTAATGCCAAACTCATCTGGTTTCTTGTTCGAAAAACCAACCCAGCCATCGAGCATGGCAGCGTAGCCCGAGATAGAGTACTGAGGCACGTATTGGGTCTCGAGGGGATCAGGAAGGATGGGTTTCCCAGCAGCATCGTAGGTGACTGACTGAATGCTAGCCTTCATGTTATATCTGATAGTAATTAGTTAGTAAGATCTGAGGTACTGGGAGCTAAACAGTAGGCACACGTACCCTTTCAGCTCAGTGAGAGTGTTGGATCCATTGGCGGCACTCTTCATAGCTTCAGCGAGAAGAGCAGAGCCAGCGCCACCAATAGCGTTGGTCTTCATCTGGACTTCATTGGCGGCAGCCTCCCTATAGTAAAAATGTCAGTAAGAAGTTGCCCGTTGCTCTCAAAGGTGCACGGTGACGTACCAGTTTTGGAAGGCCACCAGATAGGCATTGGCGTTTAGTGGAGCCCATTGAGCGAATGACTTCGGCTTGTCAGGGTTGTCATCGTCTTTGAAGTCCTGCATAGCCTGCTTCTTTGCGTCATCCAGCTCGGAGCGGAAGATAGCCAGCCTCTCCTTAGCCTTGTTGAGTCTGTCCCAGGCGTCGGGAGAGTTATCGCCACCAGCTCCCTGTGGAAATCGCCATCAGTCAATGTGAAATGAGTTGGAGGTGGGGAGGAACTAACCGGAGTGAGGGTCTGCAAGGTCATGTTCAGCGCTTCAGAGTAGCGCGAGACCTTGCTGGCGACAAAGTTGGGGTTGGTGGGATCCAGCAGAAAGTCTGCATACTGATAGATTCCCCAGTTGGTGCAGACAGCGGGGATGTCCTTGCCACCAGAGATGCCAGCAGTGTTGGCGGCAGCGATGTAGACTCTAGTGTTGTCACCGACCGGGCCACTGACCATGATGTTCTTCACGGTCGAGGCGTAGGCCTTCCAAAAGAGCTGGTTCTCTTCAGACATGGTGCGGGTAGAAGCTTGATTGATTGGGATAATAAAGGGGAAGAATATTTTGTTTGTGTTTGCAGTCGGGTGTTCTTGTAGTGGTTGGCGAACTGTTGAGTGAGAGTCAGAACTAGGGGAAACCATCGACCTTTATATAGGGGAAGGCTCTCCGCCATGGCTCCTGCAACCTTTATCCCTATGTAAGCTAAGGTTGCTCGCGGTACGTAGCCTCTAGCTTGGCGAATGCTGTCAGCCGTCTTGAAAGCAGTCAAACACGTACGCTATGTGATCTACATGTTGAGTTTGCTTCACCAAACCTCTCGCCAAGAAATGATCATTGCAACCACAGGTGAACGAGCCTTTCTTGAGTAATACTAGCGTGTTGCCATTTGCCGTAGCACGTCACAAGATAGACGTCCACAACTGAGAGCGATCTACATTGACTGTGATGCACGAGGTCACAGCGGACGGCAGAGAAACTGTAGACTAGGCACTCCATGGCTAGCTGATGCGTCCAAACAGGAATAATTACTCAGTTTCAAATCACTCAGCCTCTCGGAAGTGCTTTTTTCCGGGAGTTCGCTAACTGGCAGCCTGGCTTGGTTCATATCTATTGGCTGCGGGAGACTCAAGACATACTGGAGTGAATACGATGCTTCCGCTATGCTTTCTACATAAATCGAGAATCCATTGCGTTACATCTTTATATGGAATCAGGCGACTGCCGGCGATATTGGATATAACTGCTAAGATTTGTCGATAATATTGAGTGCAATGAAGTTCTCTTTTTCATCGACGTTACAGGACGCTGAGGGTAAAGTTCTGCCTGATCATGTATTTACAGGCCTTGTTGATAAAACGATAGATGACAGCCAAAAATGGTCACAGCCAGCCACTCTCTACGACAATAGTAATCCAGCCGCCACTTATCACACACGGCACGTAGCTTCTCAGATAGGTCATATTGTTCGTGTGATGAGAGACAACTTGACACAAATATCCCCCACCGGAGTTGGTCTTTGGTTCACAATTCCTACAGTTCAAAATACTATTGGGAACCCACATAACATATTCAAGCCTCATACTGTAGATGGAGGGCCACAATAACCTAGCTCATGACCTTTCCGGGTGACTTTTGCTAATTTCGAAAAACAAGGACGTATCTTAGTTTTCATATTATCAATAGATAATTAATGACAGTTCACTGGCCATCCGGATTGAAACAATCTCTAAACTTCAACCCAAATCGATTTATAGAGATTCTGCGCAGCTGTCTTCGTTCCATGTTCTGTCGGAACAGACAAGATGCGGCTCACCGGAAGTCTGGCCGCTAGCAAGCGGAACTTCACTCTCTTGGCAAATGGCGGCTCAAGACTTGTTTGGAAGGCTTATGCCATTGCGTTGCAGGCCCATATGACAACGCAAGATGACCTGGACAATTCTACCAAGGCGATCTTTGTCGCCTCACCGGGCCTCTTTGATATCCCTGCGGGCGAGTTTGCTCCTCAGCAGATCACCAACGATCACATATTTCGCCGAACCGATTGTCTACAGAACAATCGATCTCCATTCTATACGTCTGATGGAGAAAGCTACGTTGATTCTCGTCGCAAGTATGTCTCCCTTGTAACCGGGAGGGATCATGCAACTAACTTGAGCCAGGTATCTACAAACTGTTCACGACGATGTGAGTCCTCCTCCAACTATTATGGCGAGTATCGAGAAAAAGACTGATTTCCAAGCAGGCCATGACTTCGTCAGATGTCACTGGCTCAATCTCAAAGCTCCGCTCTGAAATTGAGCAGGCGCAGGACAGAAGTGCACAGGCATACCTCCGGGACCTCGATCTATACCAGAAATTCGCAGCTGTGGCTGGATCGGAGCTGACCAACTTTGAAGCGTGGGCCGAGAAGTTCGGCATTTATTATGCATGGTCCAAGAGCGAGCAGAAACGGCTCGAATCGGATTACACCCTTGCTGCCACCAAAACGTCAAGCAGTGTTGGGCTGGTATTGGCTGCGTTTGATCTGGCACGGGATACCTCAACTCTCAGACTTGGGTAAGCAGACGTTTTCTGAAGCCCGTTCGTATTATAAACTTGCGGGTACTAACCGTGCATGACCGGTCATAGGAGCAACATGCAATGTTCCAATATGGACATCCCATCTTCAATAGGGCGCGCACAGACTCCTTTAGTGGTTCCTGCTGACCAGGTCTATTACCGACCGCTCTATTCAATCAACGGCATCGACCGAAGAGTTGACTCTTGGGTCGGTGCTCAAGATGGCGGTCGCGAAGAGCTTGAGTTAGATCTCGATCTTTCCTATGCCAAGACAGCTTCTTGGGCAAGCCTCGGGTTTCCCAACCTCGATCACGACCCCCTCTACGACACCAAAGTGGTTGAAGCTACCAGTCCGGATGTGACACTATCACTTAAGGCTAGGGGTATGCAGGCATTTGACGTTGATCGGGGTTTTTGGTGAGTTTTCAGCACCTTCACATTGGACAAACTAACAATGTTGGCTTACAACAGGGATGTTAGCGCCGCTGCTCGATCTCAGCTTGGCTCGGCTCTAGACAGCGGAGGAAGTTCTGGTAAGCTCATGAAGATCACCAGAATCTTGCTGGGATATAAAGTGGAGATAAGAATGACATGCGCGGATGGAAAGAAGAGCCAGCTGTCGGACGCTTTGGCCGGCTCGGGTGGGGAGAAGATATTGGGAATGACAAGTGACAGGTGTACTTTTCATAGCGACGATGGGCAGGTCGTCGTTGCTAGTGCCCCTAGTGGCTTTCCGACCGTTTTGGCGGTTCTGGGACGTGAAATCTAAGTTGCGTAGTGGCAGAGCTGCGCCGAACTAATTTGATCATGATCAAAGATTGTTAAAGACTAAATAACTCCAAGATACAACGCCCATTCAGTCTTCTTCATATGCACTTTAATTCAGCATCTCGCTATCCTACTCTCTTAGTCACTGATTTTCTTCACCTGTCATCGCCTTCGTTTCACGGAGCTATGGAGTGGCAGGTCATGAACAAAGATGACTAAACACCCATTTTATGAGACGTCAGATCCAAAGGGACCGTTGATGATTCATGTATATCTTCTCAACCCGTATTTACGTCGCTAGCGGGAGATGGCGTTTAAGTGAATAGGAAGCGAAACAATAGCGCGGCTTGGCAATCGTCCCGCGCCGTCACAACTGGCCCAACACTAACTCATCGTTGAGGCTTACTTCGGTTACCTCGACGAATGGGGATCATCCATTTCTCTATGAGTATGGGAGATTCTTTCTCGCTTGCTGGGCATCTTGTGACTACTTGTTGAGGAGCTATCATACGTCACCACTGCGATAAACCACCTACCATGTCAACAGCCTCCTGGCTACCAGTCATATCCAAGATAAACGGGCATCAAGTCTGTCTTATCTTTCCCTTTTGGAAATATTATTCAACACAAAGTGTTGGTAATAGCGTGTTCAAATTTATAAAGTACTACCCTGCCACCTGGACCTAGCTCTTGGCTGCAAGCTTAGCCTGGCGATGAAGCTCTCTCGGCGGCTGGCTTCCACTCTTTGAAATGACTTTTGTCCTTGCACCTCTACTCAAATGTCTTCCATCATCCTCATCCCTTACATAATAGGCCAAATCAGCCGTAGGATCCCACTCAGTCTGAGATAGCCCATTGCCCAGCCACGCAAACCTGTTCCCACTATACTCAAAGTCATAATCCTCAAAACGAGGTTCTCGCATAGCCTCCAAGTAGTGCAGAGTAGACCCTGGCCACGTAATCGAAGACTGACCCCAGTTCGGCTTGATGTTGTGTGAATGCCGGCAGTTGTCAGACCATACCATCTTCTTAGTAACTTGCGCCATGTAGCTCTTGAAATCATAGCATGCTGCTGCCTTTAGACTCATACTATGCATACCAGGTTCAGTTTGGTACTTGTCGATAAAAGCACAGACAAAGTCCGCTTGAGCTTCTATGGGAGCAATGACGGGGCCATTTGAGATTGGGGACCATGGGCCTGCGAGGGTGAATGAGTTGGGACACTCAGAGATGCCGACTCCCATGTAGCCTGTAATAGAAGTACTCCAATCGTCCTGGAGGTTGTGCCCTTTGAAATGGATGGGATACCGAGGGATGAAGGATGTGTCGAAGCCAGTGGCTGCAATGATGACATCGCCTTCGTAGTGTTGCCCATCATCACTTATACAGCCTGTCTCTGTAATTTCTTTGACACCAGAGTAAATCGCTTGGACGTTGTCATTCTTGATCGCCTACATGTTCTGTCAGACTTGAGAGATTTCGAAATTGGATCCTACTGACATATAGAAACTGATCACCAGAAGGGAGGATCCGTTTGCATCCCACTGGGAAGTCAGGTACAAGCTTCTTTTGGACCTCTTCATCAATGACTACCTTCTTCATCTCACTCTCCAAATGCTCACGAGCTTGCTTCTGAAGGATTGTTCCTTTCATGTACATTGCTAACAAGCCGTCAGAGAAGAAGTTCTCAGTGTATGAGTGCGACTTACTGAAGAAGCTGTTGAGCGTTCGCTCATTTTCCAGCCGAAGCTTCATGACCGACTCTGGATCACTAACGAACTTCTCAATCTCCTCCGAAGAGAACTTGCCCTTCTTTGAGTTGACAGAGGGTAGAGTCCATCGAGGTGTCCGAACAAAGACCTTCGCAGACTTGACACGAGGTTGGATCGTGGGCAGAATCTGAACACTTGATGCGCCGGACCCTATCAAAAGAATATCTTTGCCGTCAAGAGATACACTGTTATCCCACTTGGCGCTGTGAAGTTTGGGTCCCTTGAACTTCTCGAGTCCGGACGCAGATGGCCACGCTGGCTTGTTTAAGTATCCGGTCGCATGAATTAGAATATGACACCAGTCTTCGGTCACCGTTTCGGACTTCAAATCAGTAACTTTGACGTTCCACTGGCCTTTCGGTTGGTCCCAAGAAGTCTCAACAACTTGCTGCTCAGTCTTGATATGTTTGAGCAGGTCATACTTCACAGCAAAGCCTTCAAAATATTCCTGGATCTCGTCTGAGCTAGCAAGAACAGACGAGAAATCTGCTTTTGGCTCGAAGGAATATGTGTAATTATGCGAAGGGACATCGCAGGCGCAGCCGGGGTAGGTATTCTCATACCAAGTCCCTCCGACTTCTGGATTCTTCTCATAAATCTTATGACCCGTCAGCAAGGTTCTCCCTTCGAAATGTTGTACTCACAGTCAATGAATAGTTCTCAAACGACCTCCTCAACTTGTAGGCCAAGCAAAGGCCAGAAACACCAGCACCAACGCATATGATTTTGACAAAGCGCCCATTGAAGATAGCCTCTGCTTTGGGTGGATCCATATTGTGTACAGAATGTTCAATTGATGGAATAAAACGTAGGAGCAATCAATTTCCTCATTCTAGTTCTTGGGGTCTTCAACAATGGCGGCCATGCAAATATGTTGGATAAATCTTACAACAATCTTGGCGGTGTATTAGAGGCTCTTATAACCCACAAAGTAAAGCAAATGAGTCATCAATCGATTTTTGTTTATCAGTGTCTATTCTCGAGCAATTAGTCATTCACTGTGGCATCTAAATCATGAGCAAGATGTGTTATTAGCGTTAGAGACCTGTAGCTGATAGCTTGTATTCCTCACGCAAAATATGCCACTTACCCTACGGGTCTTGGCATGCGTCGATCAGCGAAATCTCCGAGGCTGCCAAAATCCCGATTAGGATGCATCATCCGCCACTAAAGCCGCTGTCACTGTCACGAGGAGATAATGTCTAGCATCTGTAAGCATTTTGTAGCTGACAAACAATTTACGTTGCATATTATACACGACTACAACGCAAGCTCCACACTGGAGCTGTTTGTATGCCAGTTTTCGTACGATGAATCGTTTATCGCGGTGCCAACGCGCGTCAATGAAACGAGATTTGGTTGCTTTTTCTGCTGCATCATGCAAAGGTACCTGGACCCAGCAATTTAAGCAGAAGAGGAAACTGTTTCGCCAGTGTGTTCCCCTCCAATGCCTTGCTGGCATGCATATGTCGCCGATGTTTAACCTTGTTTGCTTTTGTTAATTGAGAAATCTTACGGCAATAGTTTCCACCTTCTTACTCGGGTCAATCGTATTTCTTGGCTGGCACAAAATCGTACGTCAGGTTGCGATACCCTGTCGCTCATTACTCGCGTGGAAACGCTTCGGCGGGCCGCGGTATCCGCTGACAGCACATGGGACAGGCAGAGATTTTCCATTGGAGGATGTATCCTTGCCCTGGCACTGAAGGAGTCTTTTACCCTGGCTTGGGTATCACGCAAAAGGGGCACGGTCCAGCATGGATCGTTAGGAAGTCTCCCCGGAGACAACGATCTCTTTAGCTCGCGGGGACTAATCGTAGTTTCGGGTGTATCCGTTTAATTGACTCAGTAGCCATGATACGACCGTTACGGTGCATTTTTAGATCTAAGAAAAATAACTCAACCAACGCAGACTACCATCGAGGATCTCGCGGCTGTGTATACGTCCCCTGAACTGCCTCGACATCGATACGCTGCTCCACCCTGATACCACTCCGAAACTGACGCGGCTGTTCCGGTAAAGAAGGCAGGTCCTTCTGCACGATCTCCTCTTGGCTCTCGGACCGAGAAACCACGTTGGTTATCGAGTAAGGGTCATGCACTTTGCTGTTATTTGCGCGCCCAGACCGAAGTTCATGGCTCTCGAGCCGACTGCCGTTGTAGTGCGGAGTCTGAGAGTTGCCCGTCTTGTCGGTGGCGTAGCCTGCCATTACCCAGAAGCGACGCTTGAGCAGAGGTGTAACCATGGGGGCTTGGCCGACGAAGATGCCGACGCAGTCTTCGCGCATTGACCATAGAGCTGAGACGCCTTTTTGGTTCAACTGACTCGTGTTAGTACATGCTATTGTAGGGGATTGGGGTTGAGGGACTTGCGTTGAAGATGAGGACGAAGCGGAGGATGGCGGCGAACATGCAAAAGAAGCCCAAGCTGAAGAGAAGAACGAGGCCGAACTTCTTGAGGCGATTGGTTTGGATGCCGACCAGTACCTATACTCTGTTAATAGATGTCGGAGAGGCGACAGTGGCTGTCATACCGGAATTGGTATAAGCATGATGCAGATATCGGTGACCAAATTGAAGACCAAAATCACGACAAAGAAGGTAAGATTCTGGGGAACACATTGGCCTGTCAAATGTTAGAAAAGACCCTGGCTACTGCGATGCTTCAATACTTACGTCCCGGGTCTGGCCAAACTTGCCAAAGGTGATGAAATGGTCGACACGTCGCGGCCAGCGTAATGATGATCACCACCACTGACAGAATCACCACCACCATCAACGGCTTCACAAACCTCTCGGTCCAAAGACCCCTCACAACACGACTGTAGAAGCACAGCATGTTGAACTTGAGCGTCCACAGAATAACCACGTATCCAGTCAGTCCAAGCAGAAACATCTGCGAACCATACGCCCACTTCTTGCGATCCTCCTCGCTCATGTTCTTCCTCTCCTCGAAGGTCAAATCGGAGGTATGGCGACCCTCGGCACCTTGGACGAAGACTTGGCCAATTACGGGTGCAGCAGTCCACATTCCCTACCACGAACCGTTAATGATGGAACACGTCAGTCTTGGAATGGAGACTCACAGCGACTGCAATAACGAGGTAATCGTCCCAATCGTAGTTCCTATAGCCAACCATTTTGGTACGGCAAAAGATGCGCGCCCCGATCATGGCGGTGCCAATAACGTAGAGGATCCATATCTCTGCGATTTGACCAGCCAACGCAGTCATTGTAACGAACGGAAGAAAGAAAGAAAGAAAGCTTTAACAAAGAGAAAATGGCAACTGCAAGCAGCTGAGCGGGCTAACAAATAAGCATATCAAGGCATGCAAATTGAAGGAATGGCAACGTGATCCTTTAGAATTTCTTTTTACATCTAAAAAAGCAGGAATCGAAACCCCGCGGCATGTTTTCAATTAAGCTTTCTCCCTATATTCGCCCCCGACGGAAGATAAAACAATTCATAGCCCAGCAATTAACTACAAGCAGTCAGATCTTTTCCCTTCCCTGTATCTTTATGCCTCGGACGTAAGACACACAATTGTAAGTTCCTTTTTGCATTGTTACATCTTGTCTTACGCTCTGGCGAGTCGGTGGATACGCCAAGGTTCTCGATGTAGGGTTCCTGGGGTGAGCATCACATGTTTTTAGGCTTTTTATGTAAGGGCCCGCTGGGATGTAACTGTTCTGGTGGGATTGAGATCCCTGGGTTTGTGAGCTGCAGATGTCAGGGGCATTTCCAGATTCAGATGCTCATGGTGTTGGTTCTGTATCTTGTGCTACTGATAATGCTTCAGTTATGTCGGCAGTTGATTCGGGAAAAACAGGTCATTGCATGATTGTAGCACTCACGACCGGACTTTGAAAAGTAATAGCGGCATTGCAATATGATAGATCAAATATTTCGTTCCGAATATTGCCCAGATATGGCCATTTCTGGGAATGGCCCGGCTGAAGTTGTTGCCGTCGACAATGTGAATGACAAGCCCCAGTCGAGAGAACAACGCCCCTGCGTATGAAACGACAAACCAACACGCACCGGACCAACAGTTCACATTCCCCGTGAGCTCAATATAGAACCAACGCTGTTTCAATCTTCTGAACAAGGAAGGTGACTGCATCGCCGATACTATTTATTCGTCGGCCCGTTCAGACTCAAATCTCCCAATGCAATACACTCCATCCTTCTTTTCTTATTTTCGGCACAGCACTTCCGAAAATGTCCGCCCCCATCCGAGTCGCTGTCACGCAGGCTGAGCCTGTCTACCTTGACCTGGCTGCATCTGTGAAAAAAGCATGTGGTCTTATTGCCGAGGCGGCGCAGAACGGGGCAAAGCTTGTTGCCTTCTCTGAGTGCTGGCTACCCGGATATCCTGCGTGGATCTGGTATGTTCATGTTTCGTTTAATGGATTGGCTTGTGCGTTTTGGCTAATCTCGGTAGGGCTCGATCTGTGGACTTTGAGTTGCAGACGAGATACATCTACAATTCCCTGCCAATTGAGTCTGAGGCCATGGATATGGTTAAAGCAGCTGCCAAGGAGAACTCCATCGCTGTTGTTCTTGGCTTCTCTGAGAAGAGTCCCTCTCATAGCGTGTACATCTCACAGGCTATTATCTCGCCTCAGGGCGAGGTCTTGTTGCACCGAAGGAAGATCAAGCCCACTCACATGGAGCGCACTGTCTTTGGTGATGGCACTGGTGCTGATCTGAACAATGTTGTGGAAGTGGACTTTGGAGCTGAACATGGTAAGATCAAGGTGGGATGCTTCGCATGCTGGGAGCACACGCAACCACTTCTCAAGTATCACAGCATCTCGCAGGGTGAAGTGATCCATATCTCCATGTGGCCGCCTATTGATCCCAGCATGGGCGTTGACCACCCTGGTCTGTGGAGCATGACGGCCGATGGGTCCCAGAACTTGTCCCAGACATATGCAATTGAGAGCACCACTTATGTGCTTCACTGCACGTCTGTATGCACGCAGAAGGGCATCGAAGTCCTGAAGACGCAAGATGGGTTAGCCTGTCGCCAGCCTGGTGGAGGCCATAGCTGCGTTATCGGACCAGATGGGCGACGCTTGACAGAGCCTTTGGGCGATGGAAAGGCTGATACCGAGGGTATTGTCTATGCTGACTTGGATTTAACCAAAGTCGTAGCGACTCGGGGATTTTTGGACATCGTGGGTCACTACAGCCGCCCGGATCTGCTGTGGCTTGGAGTGGATCGCCAGCCCAAAGAGAATGTCATCGCCAAGCAGTACAAGCCTGTCGTGCAAGAGGAGACAGAAAACACTGTCTATTGATGGATAGATCTAGAGTAGTCAGCGGTTATAAATCGGAGCTAGAATCTCTACGTCAGTTGAATATTACCAAATCGAAGCTAGAGCAGCGAACATCTGCATGAGTCTTACTCATCACCCATGCTTCGTGAAACAATTACCTCATTGTACTGCTCCGAGCAGCTATCCAAAAGCGTCAAGTCTTTTTAGTCTGTTCTCTTGGCAGCATAAGTGCGGGTTTGATGTCATGCGGGATGAGCTGTTTGTCTCACTAAGGCACCGATCGGTTTATCACGCTTGTTCCGAAAGGGAACCATGTCGCGCGCAATTAGGATGACTAGGTAGAAACCTGGATAGAGACCACCTGTAATGAATCACGGTAACAAAGACAATATAAACCGAGAGAATATCTCTTCGGTCATTGCGAGAACCTTTCAAAATTTTTAATATCCGTATATCGTCATTATTTTTACCAAGATGCCTGGAAAAGTCAATCTCTCAAAGCTTGACTCTGGAACTTTTTATTCCTTCCACAATAATAAGAGCAAGACTAGGCCAGAGGTCGACATCCATCACCAGTACTGGAACCAAACTGTCGGGTCAACGCTAAAGAGGTTCCTGGCCAGTGCCGGGTATGACTCCGAAAGTCAATACCGCATCCTCGACCAGTTCTCCAACCTTGTCGCCCCATCTCTCGGGTCGTCGCCCGTGCGGGGAGAGCCAAAATGGAAGAGCTTCATGACAGACAACAACTGCCCAGTGGAGCTGAGCTGGGACTTTCATACTGGCAATAGTCAGCCAACAATACGATATTCTATCGAGCCCATTGGTCTCGAGGCAGGGACAGCTGCAGATCTACACAACGAAGAAGCTGCGACAAAGTTCGTAAGACGAGCAACCCAGGTATTCCCTGATATAGATACAACCATCTTCAACCACTTTTATCAGTACTTCAATGGGCAATGGAACGCTGATAGGCCAGAGGGTCATCAAAGCACCATGTTCTGGGCATTTGACTTGAAAGAATCCATTACGACGAACAAGGCCTATTTCTTCCCGGGTCTTGTCGCCCACGCCATGGGCAAGTCAACGCTTGAAGTTGTAGCAGATTCCATCACCTCTGCTCCGGGATGTCGCCCCGAGAATATCAGCTCTTTCGCCGGCTTTGCTAAATTCATCCATGAGCGTCAGCACCTGGGCCTCGAGATGGACATGTTGGCATTGGACTTAGTTCCCGTCGAGAATTCAAGACTGAAGATCTACTTTAGAGACAGGCGAACAGATTTCCGATCAGTCACAGAGATTATGTCACTGGGAGGCAGGATACATGGCGAAGAGTTTGAAGTTGGGATGAGAAATTTGAGAAAACTCTGGGACGCATTATTGAGGATGACCGGAGTGCCTGATGATATTCCCCTTCCACACAAGAACCATCGAACAGCAGGTATCCTCTACAACGTCGAGTTTCGTGCAAACAGCTCGACACCGAAGGTCAAAATCTATATACCAGTCCGGCACTATGCGGACAGTGACTCGCAGATCCTCGAGGCCTTAGGATGTTTCTTGGCATACCAAACAAGCAAGTTACCAGATACGGTGGTCGATTCGGTTTGGATAAAGAGGTATTCAGAGTGCTTATACAGTGTTTTGTGAGTAATAAGTCGCCTTGCATTATATCAGGCAGAGTCCCGGCTAATGGTCCCTAGCGGAGAAGAGAGGCTATCGAATGGTTTAGACGTTCATACGTACATTGGCTGCTCAGTACAGAGCGAGGGCGATCTTCGTGTTGTTTCTTATGTTAATCCCCAGCAATAAATGTCCAAGGGACTGTAAGTACCAGAATATTGTTAGAAGTGTTATGAGAGTGATAAAACTGAGGGTATTAATGATCCGTCCCTGTCCTTGACCGACGCCTGTTAATGCAAAACGCCCATGTTCTAGTTTCTGACTTATATACACGACAACCAGCTATAACATGAAACCCAGCGTAATGGGACTTTAGTGGTTATCTATTGAATACAAACTCGTTGTACACTGCCATCAATGTTGAAATCGTCCACTAACTCAGTGGGCCATCCAGGAACGGCAATTGAACGGAAATCGGGATTTGGGTTTGGATTACCCAACACTGCATCCAGATCATCTGGGTTAGAGATAGGAGATACACGATTCAGTCTGTGTAGTGTCTTCCAAGCCATCGTCTGCTTTATCCGGCATTCCATAGCCTCCCTTGGAATTCGTATCTGCACCGCCAAGCCTCCCAGCAAGGCTGCATGTGGCCACATGAGAGGGGGGTCCGTATAGTCCTGCCAAAGCATGCAGTGATCTGAAACACTACTACTTCCTCTTCTGACTTCTTCTCGGGATGAAATTTTAGACAGCAGATCCACTAGGGCAGAGTTGCGTTTCATATTCTGAAGTTGTTCTTTATGTCGAACTAGACCTGTATTGTCAAACGCTTTCCAACAACTGCAATCCTTGTCTGGACTTGATTCAAAACAAGCCTGCCCAACAAATCGCCAGTTATTAGCAATACTTTTCCACCATATTAGATCGAGCTTTTCAAAAAGATTCTTTGTGACAGTTACCACAATGTATTTACCAACCTCGACCTGGGGCCTGAACGATGTAGGAATACCAAGACTCAAACAAGCCAAAAGCCCGCATTCAACATGCTCATTTATTAAATTCATCAGAATGGGCTTGAACGTGTAATTTGAGCCGCGGCCAAACCCTAGCCTTGCTTTTAATGAGCTGAGTCTCGACGGGTTATCTGTCCATATATTGGTTGATGTATCGTCGGTACTGATAGCCTCAAGTTGATTATGTAGAGTATACTGTAGGCTCCTCAGATGTAAGTTCTGGTCCTCCGACTTGCCTTCTGAGAAATGAAGATTCCCATTATCCCCAGACGTATAACGGGTCTCGGAAGCGTTCCATTGTTGTATATTTTCGCGGAGATCCAATTTTTGGTCTTGGAACGCCACATGTCGGCAAATCCCCATGACCTTATAAGTGTTGTGGTCAATCTCAAGGGACATTAGTAGGAAAATAGGGGAACCGTTGCCGTCATTCAAGCAGAAAAGATGATCTCGGGTGGGGACAATCAACTCATCGAGCGGTAGATTTGAGGACAACACCAAATTCGAGTGGCGACCTGGAATAGTGAATAGATGCCAACCCTTCATAATTTCAACATCTCCCATCTTTCGAGCACAGTTTTGAAACTCCAACAAATGTATGAGGTTGATGGATAATGTACCCGTCGATGAGTCAACAGTAGTGTCAAGATACCACGGCGTCCCTCTGTGATCCACTTCACCGTCACCAACAATACCATGGCAGCTTGCCAATTGCAGTTCATTTTCAGGCTTCATCTCTCGGTCCTTGAGAAGGACTGCTAATTCATCCAATACATCTCGGGTAGAAACATCAGAAGCGAAAAGTTCAAGGTTGGGCATCCACGAGGGGAATTTAAAATAATTGCGCAAACCAGCGGCAAAACGCAAAACACCCAAGTCCCTCAGCTCGAGAAGTGTATGCGAAAAGAGCCCGATCACCATCTCCCTAAATGATAGGGAATAGTCTGCACGCAGTATCGAGTCGGAAGAGTTATTGCTAAGCAGGGAAAGGATACCAAAGACTCTATCGCGGGGATCAGCGCACTGGCACATGTGTGTTGCTCGAAGGATATGAAGGATATTTGTCTCTTGCAATCTCTCTAGGCCAACATTCTGCAGCCATGGGGCGGTAGTTGAGTTCCAATCCCAGTTGGTATGGGCTTCCAGGGATCTCATCGTATTGGAATCCATCCAATATTCCGAATCTCCGATCTGAAATGCCACTCTTCTGGCCAAAACGAGCTCTTGAACAACCCAAATGCGGCTGAAGTACCGCCTGCAAAGGAGCTTGCGGAAAGAGTCCCGCGATATTCCCATGGATTGTTCAGAATTGCTCAGGGTCAATTCCTTCTGAGCTGGATAACTTCCTTGAATGGATGTTGCCATGTCTGGGCCGAGGTAAACTACGACCCGATAACAGTTCTTATACCTTTGTGACATTTTCATGACTTGTGAATCCCTTTCCTTAATGTCATTCTGATTAATGCAGATAGCGTCAACCCAAACAGCACGCGTTCCTATTGGGAGCCGTAATGATTGCAGCATTGACCAGCAGTTCCGGGTCTGTAGAACAATATCCCAATAGCGTCCGATGTACAATGGTCTGCACTTGGAGCTATCGTCATCCTCACCAGCCCACGTGTAGGATGTTGACTCGTACTGCGGAGATCGGCCATCCTGATGTACCACTAGTTCGGCGTGTATAGGGGTGTCAGGATCAGTAGAGGGACTTAAAAAGAGTAGTCTAAACTCTTCTTGGCCCAATCTGGAGGAATAGATGGGGGACTGGGTGACCTTCTTGTTATCTCCCGGTTCGAAGGCATCTATCTTGGGCTTGTTTGATAATGGGTCCCCGCCAAGCTGTACGATGCTCGTAGTTTGCTGCTTGTATTTAACCGAACTCGGCCAACGGAGGTTTAACTGTCCCAAAGGAGGGTCAGGTGGAGGTTGGGTAAAGGCAGGAATGGCGTTTTGCTGAGCAATATACCTCTGTATGTCGGGTACACTATCACATGCCTCACAGCGTGGGGTGTTGCCAGCAATAACAACTCTTGGCTTAGAACAGGTTTCTTTATGCCAACGGGACATTTCGAAAGTCCTTTTGCTTAAAAAATGAGTATATTAAGGATTATAGCATTTGAAATGTCTGTCTGAATGATGCTGATGTCTACCCCGCTTTTGCAGCCTGATCTTCTTGAGGTCCTTGGGCTGTGCAGTCCGCAGCTCCTTTTGAGAACCAATTAGATTCCTGATAGGAATACCTTGGATACTCCTCTTTGGGACTCTTCGAGAACGTGTAAACAGCTTCTCATTTGGTCCAGTCTCCTTAATTTCAACCTTTCTTGGGCTTCATGAAATCTTTATCGTATTTCAACACCCAAGCCCAATCTCCGATTCGGTCTTCCTGGACACAAGTGAACAACGTATATGATATAAACTGGCTCAGGCCAAGTGACTGGGGTCCACCAGCTGCCTGGACTATACTGGCTGCCCCGTGGATATGTCTTAATGCCATTGGAATGTTGCCGAGAAGCATCTAAACCTGGATGTGAATATCTTCCTTCTTACTATATCATCCAGAGGTTTGAAAGGGAAGCTTACTTCATCAAAGGATAAAACTAAAGCACTCGAGACAGATCGAGGATTTATTGATATTGGCTGCATCGCAACATCTTTTCGAAGTTTTGCCAGGTGCTCCAATTTATACCGAATAGCTATTTCTTCGAATTCGATATTGGACTCCACCAAGGATAAATGGCGGGAAGCAGCTAAGAGAAACCCTCTGACGAATTCCGTATCGTGCGATGATATGATGATCCAATTCTTTCTCAAGTATTCCTGGTACTGGCGTATGGATCTTGCTATTGGGCAGCGAGCGCTCAGATACGGCATCACAATCTTGATATCTGTGTCAACAATTAGCTTGCCAGTGGTGAAACACGAGGAGACTGTGACTCGGAGAACCTAAACTATTGAGCCCATTACTTACAATGGTCGAACATGAAACATTCATCTGTTGAGAGAGTTGAAAGGAAGTTGATGTATGGTGATAGTATCGGCTGGTGAATGTAAAGCTCTGCTGTAGATAGAGTCGTTTGGTTGTATGGAAGCAAGGTCTGGTTTAAAGGCTGGCCTTTTGCGCTCAGTACTTTCATGGTCTGCTTCTTTTCCTTTCTGGGATCATTTTCCTCAGCAATCCCTGTCGCTTTTCTAGGTCCACGAAGCTTCCGTACTCTGGCGTGGGCCACCTGGGCAGAATATGAACGAGCCTCGCGTTTTGACTCTCGGAGCGCCTCGGGTCCTGCATTAGGCAGCACCTGAATGAACTTCATGGTCACAAATTCAGTAGATTTTCTTATGAGTGTATGCTTACTAGCAAATATACCATCAAGTTCAGAGTGCAATAAGTCTCTGCATTCGAGGAGCTTGTACTCTGTATAGTGGGCATGAATTCGGCATTTGTCAGCACGAATGATGTCGCTGAATATTGATCCTTCTTGATATGGACTAGCGAAAAATTGGATAACTAATCACAAAATCCCCATCTCAACAGTTCGGAGCTTAAGTGGCATTCCCTCACACATGGTATGGCAGAATATCCTCAATCTCCGCATACACCGCTCCAAGAGCGTCTGCTACGTCATCAGGCAACGGCCCAGCCTCAATCGCATTAATATTAGAGTTCAGCTGCTCCACGCTCGATGCACCAACGATGATAGAATCGCCATATTCTTTGCTCAGAGATCCGTGGTGCGCTGTCCACCTAAGAGCCGCAGCATGGCCGCTAATTCCGTGGCTTGAAGCTGCAGCCAACGCTTTCTCCGTGGCCTCCGAGATGGAGGGCTTGAGATAGCGTTCAGCGTATAGGCTTCCGATGAAAATCTTGTACACACGTCAGTACGTGCAAAAATGGCTGTCTGAATACGTACGGATTGATCAAAGCGGCCGCCAGGTCGGACGTTCTTATGGTTGCCAGCAAAGAATCCAGCTCCAGCTGGACTATAAGCATAGAAGGCGATATTATGTCGTCGCAAAATCGGAAAGAGTTCCTTTTCGGTAGACCTAACAATCGGATTATATTCTCCTTGATATACGCTGGGCTTGATGAACTGGTTTTTTTCACAAATCTTGACAATAGTCTCGACCTCTTGAGCGGTATGTTTGCTGATACCCCAGTACTTGATCTTTCCTTCTTTATGAGCCTGGTCCATGGCTTCACAGGCTTCTTTGAGGTCAGTCGCCCGGTCGGGCTGATGCAAATATTCGATATTGATCTGCGCGATTCTCAGGGCACTCAGGGAATTATTAATGTCTTTGAGAATGTTCTCCTTGGAGTGAGCCCCGTCGTGGAAAGAGTTAACCTTTGTGTCAACGATGAAGTTCTTCTCAGGGACGTCTCCAATCTTTGGCTCGCTTGTGCCTGGTGCATGAGGTGAATAGATGCGTGCCGTGTCAAGCTGGTTATACCCTCTTTTGGTGAAGGCATCGAGAAAGGCGATGACCTCGCTTGGCTCATGGAAGCGGACCACGGGGTCAGCATTGCCGTCGCCGACCTGTCGATGAGTGATCAGATGTGACATTTCAGGGCAATGAACGAGGGGAGTTTAGCTTACATTCGCCACTCCTAGGACAATATTGATCTTTGAAGACTTTGAGGAGGACATGTTAGCTTGGCTTAAGTGAAGATGAATGACTTGATGATGTAACTGTGGATGAAGCAAGATGTAGTAGAATGTATCGTAGTTTGATGGTTTGAAGTCATTCTGTCTTTGACATCGGCTGCGTCTTTATACTTCATTTGTCTGTTTACTAGAAGATGCTGAGAAATATCCCGGGGCTAGTTCTGGTAATATGATCCTTCCAAATTAGGAAATATCAGTATAAATACATTTCTAAGCTATTTCACAAAGCCATGCGCCTTGGCATCGAATCGCACGACATCCACCCGATTTCTTGACAAAGTTTGCCCGTCAGTGCTAAGAATACTGGATCGTGGACTAATAAATTTTGTCGCTCCCCAGATAATTGGCTTACTCACTGAGATTTGATCCTTCCTTTCTAGGCAAGATCTTCTTGTCAGCGGAAAGAATCCACGCCAGGGCTAGTGAGCTTTTTTCTCCGTACCCAACCTTGCGCCATATCATAAGGGCAGATTATCAAAACTCAGCTTCACCTAGATTTCGCATACGCAAGTCAAGGAAAAAAGCACAGTCGTGAAGAGGGTTTCAGTTTGTATGGGTATGCGATATATATTCTATGCTAAGTCTAATAATAATACAGCAAGAAACGAATGTGTAAGTATACAATCATGTGAAAGAGCTCGGATAACACAAAACAAATAACAATATGTAAGGGATATTTCGATCCATCAAGGGATATAAAACTAGAAACGACAGTGTTTAATGAAGTAAGCAAGCGTGACGGAGATAGTTATCAAGTCAGGCTTAGTTAGAGTAATGGGCAACATAGCCGACTTCCATCATGCTACCATAGCCGTCGCACGTGTTACCGTTGGGGTACCCAGGCTATTGTACTGTCAGTTTATGCTTGAGAGATATTTTGGTATCGTTGATGACTTACCCAAGTGCCACCGACAGCGACGTTGAGAATGAAATACATGGGACTATGGCACAGGGTATTCCAGACTCCCTCATTGTTAATCCTTGCACCCGAGATCTGATGGAACTGCTGTCCGTCAAGGAACCAGGTGATAGTCTCATCTCGCCAGCTGCTCTTGGCGCGGTTGAACTCAATTCTCCAGGTATGCCAGTCTTGGTTCGGGAGACCAATCGTGCCACCAATGCCGGTACCTTCGTTGCAGATGCCGCCAGGGTAAACATCGCAGTGCGCAGTTCCGTATCCGGTCAACTGGCCGTTAACTGTCTCCATGATATCAAGCTCACCACAAGATGGCCAGCTACCGCCGTTACGGAGAATGTTTCCAAGCATCCAGAAAGCAGGCCAGATTCCTTGTTTATTGTTGGTAGAGCACGAGCCGAATCGCAGGTTGGCCTCTGCTCTTGTGATCTTGCCTGCCTGGGGGGTGAAGACATATTTGCTCTCGACACGTCCCGAAGTCCAGCCCTTGAGAGCGGAAGCATCGCGCCATGGGACAAGCTGGAGTGTATCGCCGCCGCTTCGTTGGACGTTGCGGCTGGATGATGTGTAGACTTCGAGTTCTGCATTGACGTTGAGGTATCCCGTTATAATGTTCCATCGGCTAGTGTCAGGCAGAGTGCCGGCAGCGCCAGAGAAAGGATCCTGCCAGACACGAGTAAAACCACTGTAGCCTGGTGCATCCCAAGCCACAGCCGTGGCGGAAAGGAATAAGAGTGCTGTAAGGGGTTGCTTGAAAAACATCTTGAAGGTAGTAAGAAATACTGTTCAGTGATATTCGAATGAAACTATTCAGTAGATTGCTTAAAATAACAATGGTGGCGCTGAAACTGTACTCTTATAGGATAGGGGGGAGCATGGCACTTGGTACGTAGTCGCTATATTCCCTATCTTATTATTCCAGTGCCATGGGTCATATCCATCATGCTAACAGATGCAAGGGCCCGAGATCTCATGGCTCAATGCCGACGGACCTGCATTGACAGCCTCCCGCATGTCATGCTACTAGCGCGTCGATCTAGTGATCGTGTCACTTATAAAAAGTGAAAACCTCACGCCAAGGAACAACTCAGAAAGAGAAGTGTTTCCTCTGGAACACCATTTCTCGTGCTCAAGTATCTCAACACAATGATTCTCCATCTCCCAGACGTGATCCAAAGTATAGTCACCACTCAACTCTCAATGACAGGAATTTTCGCATCCTCTCCCTATGATCAAGAAGCGTGACCTATCAGAGCGTTACATCAGTCGCTCGCAAATTTCATGCCCTACAACCCTGCTGGGAGGGATATTTCCCGAGAAGGGAAACTAGCCCGTGCTGGTTAGAGTGATTGGCCCGAGGTCCGGGGATGATGCACCCAAACCGGACTAGGACTCCAGTCATGACCTTCCAATTCCATTCAGGATAATCTGAATGGTCACTTGATTTGCTAGAGCGTTTGTTTCAGCGCGTAGAGACTGTCCAGTTACTGGCGACACAGGTGACCTTCTCATGAGCTTAAGATTAAAAGGCACGGGTCTGCGCGTTTCTCATTAGTACCGGTGAATGATCGCAACTGGCAGGTTACATTGAAATCATTTGTACAGTTGCTCATTTGAGGTATGTACTAAGTTCGCTCAGTGTCGGTTTGACAGTAAAGCCTCTGCCCTTGATGGCTGGGGACGTGGTAGCGATAATCTTAACTTGATCGCCAAAGTTAATTCCAAGGTGAATGAAGTTTATTCCCTGGGTGCTACTTGTATTTAGAACAAATATTACAATTTCTGTTTGTAGATTCTGTCATAGATTCACTGTATATTAACAATATCTAACCGGTTTTATGTCAGTAGCTTTGCCTTGTTCTAACATCATCACTGGCAGATCGAGTGCTTTAGGGTACCCAAGTCTGGAGTTTTGGCGGGGTTTGCTAAACTTGCTAAAGCAGTACTGGTCCTATCGCAATCTATACTTCTTATTGGTGGCGGGTACACCAACATCAGCCTGATGTATGGCATTGGCTTGTAGCTTTCCCCCTTGTTTGCGTACAACACTAACGCTACGACTCCACCACAACCAGGCAGATTCAAGGCTGACAACTAAACACCGCCCCAATCATCCTCGCTTATCCTTATCAATGTCTTTGAGGCGTCATCTTACACTAAAACCGGCTTCTAAACGCATCTCTTTGCCGAATCCATGCAAACATGTCCAACGACTCGCAATCGCCAGCAGAGGTCACCGGCCCAACAGCATTCTGGATCCTTGCCTCTCTAGCATCAGCAGCAGCAGCTCAACCATCAGGCAATCGAAGAAGAGACAATGACCTCTTCGGAGGCAATGTCGATATTGTTCGCTCTATCCCAGCCGTCTGTCTCATCGATTCAATCTTTGACTTGTTTGTGCTGGCCCGAGGTATTTCGAGATTTTTGTCGTCAGAGAATTCCACTCAACAAATTCGTCGCAACTCACCAAAAGCGACTGGCCTGGTCATCAGATTGGCCTTGACCATATTTACCGTCCTACCGCAGACTATTAAAGTCTTTAGTCTCCAGGGCGTGCCTGCGACGCAGATATGTGCTTTTATCTTCTTCTTTGCCAATGTTACCAAACTCCTGGTGTCCATTTGTGGATGGGAACCAGAAGGGAACCTCCACGACGAGGATGATTCAACTTCAACTGATGTCCTCTTGTCGTCATTTCTCCAAGCGCCATTTGAGTATTGGATATGGTTTAATATCAGTCGACAAGCCTCTTTCAAACTTTCCACTGACCTAGAGAATGCTTGCGACTGGGCCGCGATGGTCGTTAGCTTCTCCATGGTATTGCAGGTCGTCATATGGATTGCGTATCTAGTAGCGCGACGACGTCTAGACCTCTCGAGATCATTGTATATAGTACCGATGCGAGGTTTCTACTTGGTCATGGTGGTCCTTGGGCTTGCAAGACAGCCTTCTACGAGGAATCCATCGCAAGCAACAATCCAGCCGCCACCGGGGTGGGTGGACATATTCAATTATAGTTCGGGCTTAATTATCTGTACCGCCATTGTCAGCATAGCCATCACCAAGCTACTAGAATCCATCGGAACTCTTCTGGCGCTTTTGCTGTCTCGTGGTAGCTCGGAAGATGAACAGAACGAGACATCGGAAGCGCAATCCACCTCGGGTGAAGACGCCGCCGAAGAGCAGGAAGACCACCTGTTTGTGGGTCACCCTGGAGCATGGCTGGGAAGGATAGGCGTCTTTCCGGATCGATTGGTTGTGCGGGGCCTTGCATTGAACACGACAGCCAGTACGAGCATTACGCTAACAGTTTTCAACCTTATCACTACAGTCTTCTACTACCTCGTATACTTTGATGGAACAGGGACAGCAAACCCCAGTTGGACAAGCGTCTTGGGTTAGTGGTTGGTAGGGGTAGAACCTTTGCTTATCTTATAGCAAGCTCTGGGCCGCGAGTGTTAGGATAGCAAAGGGTAACACGATGCGTAAATAGAGCAGTGGCAGTCTAAAGACATCATGATATACACTTCTATCTCTAGGGCAATCATAAATTACAATACAAAGAGACAAGGCCATTCGCAAATAGAACAGTAGACATCGAGAAGCCTCCAGAACAACAAATTGCAACCACTACTAACAGTCTTGTATATACCTCACTCTTTGTTGCGATATCCTCTTATTACCATGGCGTGAGTTCGCCGCGACATCTCCACGAGCTCAGTAGTCTGAAGGCTCACGTCGACGCTCTCGTCGAGGTTCGTATCGGCCTGACGGTGATCTACGTGATCTGTTTGAAGACGATCTGTGTGATCTGCTGGGATGTCCTCTCTGTGATCTACCTGCAGGTATTCTACCAGAACCATCTCGAGATGCGCTTGATTCAAGATCCATCAGTCTGACTGACTTGGATCGATGGTCGGCACGGCCATGGATAGCGGTGGCGTAGATACCGGGATGGATGACGGAGAGCAGAATGACGGAAATGGCGATCATGCTGACAAGGCCCGAATGTCAGAAAAGAGATAAAGTGGCTCAAAGCGGCGAAGTGAACTTACCAGCCATCGAGAATCATGAACTCAACCTCTTGTCGCATCATGTGTCCACCAACGCCGCCAGCCAACTCGGGAATACTAAAGGTGTTAAGCAAGGGTGGTGTGCCGATATGCGTATGGGATGACGCTGCTTACCGGTAGATACAACGAGTGAGAACGAGGAAGAATACAATTGTCAGAGAGATCAGAAATATGTTGAGGTCTTTGTCCAGATGTCGAAAGACACTTCCACGTTCTCGACGCATACGGAAAGCAAAGTCAGCAGCAAGAATGCCAGCAATGGCCATGACGACAGCCTGAAATGTCACGCCAAACACCATGATTACCCTACCAACAGTTCCAAGAGACGGATACTTCTCCGTCATCGACGCCATAACACCACCAACACACTGGGAGAAGAACCCCAGCATATCAGCAGTAACGAACGGCCATGTCCAAAGCCTCGCTGGAAGTTTGGTATACTGCTCTCCAAAGTACTGCACCAAGGCTCGAAGCGTCATGTAGAGTGCTGCAGCGAGAAACGAGGGGCCGACCATGAGAAGGACAAACTGGATTGATGTAGCTGCACCGTCCCATGGGTTCTTGGACATGAGAATTCGGCCGGCGTAACCGCAGCATTCAAGCAGACTGCCAATGAGGACGAGGATGGTGAAGCCTTTCCAGAGACGCCAGTAGCGGATGAGGAAGTAGACTTGGACGAGGGTACAGATACCAAAGACGACGCCGAAAAATGCGTTGCCGCCCATGTTGGGGACATAGCCGTAGATGGTGTCCTCGAGGGGACAGTCGGGAGAGATTTTCTCACATCGTTCTCTTTGCTCAGTGCTCATTTTGTTCGTCGGGCGGTCGAAATAGGTGATGTAAGGTGAAGCTAACGAATGATTGGAAGTCGAGGTTCGAAACTTGTGGTATAGGATATACCTAGTGCTGGCTTATTATGAAGATTTAGTTCTCAGACTGGAATAACACGACTCTTTTATGTTCGGTAGTTGATAAAAATCGGCAACGGAAATACCGTTGACTACAACAATGTGGCAATGCAAGCAAGAAAACCGCGTCTCCCTGAAGGGCTGTGCCATTCAACCTTATATCAAAGCATGAGACGGCGATATCGGGATCCCGGATCGTCAAGATTATGCTTAAACTTAGATATAAAGCCACTTGTGCAGGCCCGAGCGCCAATTTTAAAGGCCCGTGATTGGTTTGTTGGTCGAGCGCCAAGGGTCAGTCATTCGTCAGACGCTTGTTCGGGATTCCGAGAGCCTTATCTCAGATGATGGCTACGCGTCCTCATTTTGCGGAAACAGGATTTGATATGTCATTTTGTGATTTGAAATGGAGGTTGGTGTCGTAGCCTTCGACCGCTCTCAGTGAAGGATGTCGAAGTTACTGGAGTGTACGTGTTGTAAATGAGCGCTAGACTTACAGGAGGCTTATGTACTTGGGACAATGGAAAGGAAAAGCCGAAAGGGAGTCAACGAAGAATCAATGAAGTACGGTAGAGTATATAATGTAAATACAGGGAAAGGTGGGGATTGGAAATATCGCCTACTCGCCCAGTGCGATAACCAACCCATGAAGTTCAACCGCCTGGTCAGACAAACAACGTGGCGGTCTCCTGGTTGGCAGTGTACGGAGTTTCCCGACTAGCGGAGATTCTTTGTCACAGCCAGTTGCACACTGAATCACTTATATACCTGTGATTCAATG